TGGGTTTGTGCCTGTGTGTAATAGATTGGTCCTGCGCAGCTCCGTGCTTTATGTCCCTCCAGGGCTCCACTACCACTGCCTGATCATCACCACGCCACATTAACTCTGTCGCTCCGTCTCATCTGCTCCATCTTTCTCTGTTTATGTCCCTCCCTCCTTCTGTTCTCGCCGAGTTTAGTTACTTTAAAATGTATACCATTAAAACCTAATTATGTGGTGTTATTTAGCAGTTTTTGCTTGGTGTGGTCTATTCGCTTAGAGACGGACGCTGAAATGGTTCATCAGGACTAACGGTGATCATTATTTACGCCCAAATTCATTCACTTAAATCAGAACTATTATACAAAATTGACCTTTCAGAGCTTTTAAGCAGAGTTGTTCCCCTCACCATTTCCCATCTTGAAGTTGTATTTGGAGTGATTGTGCATGTTTGAGTGATCTTTTATGGAGTCAGAAAGCTTTCAGAAATATGTGTGTGCATAGGATAGAAGTCCATTCATATTTGTGAAATCTGTGCAAATTTGGCTGTAGTTGAGCATAAAATAAATATTCGTAAACACTCAAAGGAGTCCAGTCGTACATAAAATGTATTGTGTGTATTTTATCCATCAGAATATGAATTGAAAAGTTACGGCATCAAGAATTACAATCATGAAATGAAAATGTATGGTTACGCTTTCTTCAGTACAAATACAAATTCACAGGCGCGACTCAACTGTCAAAAATATGTCGTCACTTCAAGGCATGATTTATTGAGCAGAAGAAACACCGATTGAGATGCCAAATTTTTGCACCATATATGGACTGAACCAGGACTAAACCACCAGGACTGATCCCAGGGCTGATCCCAGGGCTGATCCCAGGGCTGATCCCAGGGCTGATCCCAGGACTGATCCCAGGACCTGGTTCAGTCCTGGTTCAGTCCTGTTTTAGTCCTGTTTTAGTCCTGGTTCAGTCCTGTTTTAGTTCTGTTTTAGTCCTGTTTTAGTCCTGGTTCAGTCCTGTTTTAGTTCTGTTTTAGTCCTGGTTCAGTCTTGGTTCAGTCTTGCTGTAGTCCTGGTTAGTCCTGGTTTAGTCTTGGTTCAGTCCATATGTGGCGCAAAAGTCCGGCATCTCGATCGATGTTTCTTCTGCTCAATAAATAATCCCTGTGAAGTGATGATGTATTTTTGACAGTAAAGTCAATTTGTATTGAATTCAATTTGTATTGAATTTGTATTCGTCCTGAAGAAAGTGTAATCATACATTTTCATTTCATGCTTGTAATTCTTGATGTCGTAACTTTTCAGTTCCTATTCTGATGGATAAAATACTTATACAATGCATTTTATGTATAACTGGACTCATTAGAGAGTTTACGAATATTTATTTTATGCTCAACTACAGCCAAATATGCATGATTTCCCAAATATGCATAGATTTCTGTCCTATTAAACAGATATTTCTGAAAGCTTTTTTAATCCATCATCTTTAATCACTTATTTTCAAGATGCCATATTGCTGATCAACCCCTGTTTTCACTGCCACAGACACACACCCACTGCTCTGGACTTCATCTGTGATACATACAGGATTAGGCGACTCTTGTGAGCTTTAAGCCATGTTATAATGTTGTCTTGTCATCAAAAGGAGACCTGGAGTTGTGTTTTGTTTGATTCACACGTTTCAGTAAGCCTTATTCGTCTGTGTACGTCTCCAAAGCTCAAAATACTCTTTTCCAGCTTATGATGTCATGGTATTTTTCAACAGCTGCTTTTTATCTTTTGTTCTGTAAAGATAAGCAATTCGAGGACTGAAATGATCCAAGTCATTCTAGTGAAGGTGTATGGAGTTTAAAAAGGCAGTGGAAAAAGGTGAAAACGCATTAGTTTGAGAGCAGAACTGAGTGTAATATGCAGGATTTGTGCATTAAACATGTGTGAATGAAACAAAACGCAACTCCAGGTCTGTTTGTGATGAAGAAACATTATAACATAGATCAGAAAATAACAAAATATGGGCCCTTTAAGTAAGAATTTAGGAATAAACCAGATTTAATCAAGATATATAAATAGTTAGAAATCTTCTTTACTAAGATGCCACCAGTGTGTTGTAAAGTTCCATTGCCACTGCTGAGTCTAGAGCCATTTAATAGATACACATTTTCATTCTAAACAACATTGGGAGGAGGCCAGAGGATTTAAATGAGTTCCTCAGTTATAACGTGCTGTAAAACCAAAGTGATGACAATGTGAATTTCCCAAAAGTGTTGATTCATTCTCTAGCAGAATACAGTATATGGCAGGAATGTGAATCAAAGTGAAAAATACTTTCTGAAGAAATTCCTTAAGTCAATGTTTTGGTATTTATGTTGGACTTGAACTTTGGAGAAGAGGTTGCTATATTGTGCAACTCTGATTCTTGTAAGATTTAAGCAATGTTACAATGCTGTTACCTCCTCCAAAACAGACCCAAAGTTGTGTTTTGTTTCATTCATGTTTGTGTAAAATTAGAGATGTAACAATAACCGAAATATCGTAATATCGTATCGTCAGAAGTCTCTCAATAACATCGTGGACCACCACAATGTATCGAATTACAAGTCTCTTCGCTTAAATGAATAGTTATGGTGATCTTAATCCATTTCTTTGTAATTTTAATGTGATTTCTTATCCTGTAAAGCACTTTGAAGTACTTTGTGTATGAACCTTGCTGTACAAATAAACTTCCCTTCCCTTGTTATGGTGCAGCAAAGCTTAAAAACAGATAAAACTACATAGACCATGACCCTTTGGTGTTATCAGTGCAGATAACGTGAAGAAATAACTGTTATTAAGCACTTTAAAATTGTCATTCTTCACTTTGTAACCCTACCAAAGGCTTTTCAATGCTTTTCCAAGACTTTATAGAAGGAAAAGTTACATATTCACTAGGGATGTAACGATATCCAAATCTCTTGGTATGATATTTTCATGATATAACATCTCATGGTACGATATTTATTGTGGTATTTTGTGGAGGCTAACAAAACTGTGAATATGCTACTGTTTCCTCTTAAAATGCCTTGAGAAGACTTAGTAAGATTTAAAAGTGCTTATAAAAGTTATTCCTTCATGTAATCTGCATTGAAATGGAGCAAAGGATCATGGTCTATGTAGTTCCCTCTGTTTTTTTTTAGCTATTGCTGCACCATAACTATTCATGTAAGCAAAGAGACTTGTAATTTGATATATTGTGATGGTCCACGATATTATTGTGAGAACTTCGCAAGAAATATCGAACCATGAACTCCATATTGTGAAAATATCGTATTGAGGGATTTTGATCTTGTTTCATTCCTAGTAAACATTTAATATTATTCTGTCTATATTTCCAAAGTTGAAAATGCTCTGTTCCATCTTGTGATGTCATGAAGGGCTAGTTTTCAACAGCTTCAGTAGATATGGGTAGCCAGGCTGGCGCCACCTAGTGCCTCCTCTCAGTTTCATTTCTCTGCAGCAAGTAGGTCAGGAATCAGAATACACTAGACGGTTTGCAAAAACCCCAGAAGTGCGAGTTCGGGCACCAGCCAATCAGCGAAGAGCCATACATTCTGTGTTGTCAGCGATTCTTGAGATCGAGGATTTAAAGCGGGAACAAAGAATGTTTGGTGAATTTTATTAAGGGAAAAGATGTTATTGTCCTTCTTTCTACGGGATTTGGGGAAAGCTTAATATAACAGTTAGTCCCGTTAGCGGTGCATCACATACGCCACAACCAAATAGCAGCGATTGGTTAAATGAAAAATAGTACCTGCCTACCATCGAGCGAACAAATCCTAATGCTGCGAGGAATCAGGCTAAGAGATTAGCAGATTGGTCCGAAATCATCCAAATGATTATAGTGAAGGTGTATGGAGTTTAAAAACACAGTGGAGCACTTCCTGTATTATCACATGACATCACAAGATGGAACAGTGTGTTTTCTGTTTGAGAGAAGAACTTTGTCTAATAATTATGCAGGGTTTGTCTGTTAAACATGTGTGAATGAAACAAAACACAACTCCAGGTCTGTTTGTGATGAGGAAAAACATTTTAACATAGATCAGAAGATAACCTAATATGAGCTCTTTAACTGTACTATGAAGCATTCTCCATATTATTATGATGTGTGTATAGGTTTATTAATGTTATATGCTGTAGATTGAGTCAAGGGCATTTTTACTGTGTGTTTTATAGGACTGTGCAGAAAGCCAAAGCCTAATAAAAATCATTGCTGTAAGTTTTGAAAAGAAATCTCAGGGGGATCTTCTTTCCGGCGTCCAATCAGGAGAGTGTAGAATGAGAACCATGCAGAAATAACTGTCTATAACTATACCAGAATGTTGTTTGAGCATTACGGTTTGATATCAGAGTGAGAGAAGGGACTAAGTGGGCGGAACTAAGGCTACGTTCAGACTGCAGCCTGAAGTGAAACAGATCCAATTTTTTTCAAATGCAACCCAGGCCACTTGGATATGTGCTCCTAAAACTGATACATATCTGATCTTTTGACATGTGACTTCAGTCAGTTCAGGTCACATTCATCCCATCTACACATCATAAATGTACACAAATGTTCTTCTCGTCATATGAAAATTGTGTTTGAACTTTGTTACAGTGAAGCAGTGAAGCACATATCAGTCCCACCATTCTTGGCTCCGACTCTGCATCCACACGTTCCTTTCTACGGACGTTGCTGCCACTGCCCCACAAAACACCACGGCCAAAAACCTCGTCCTTCTTCTTCTCAATCTCCTCCTTAAAACAAATAAAACTGTACATGTTCTGGCTCCAGTACGACAGGAACTTTAAAATCACATTTAAAGTTCACACTGGAGATCACATACAATTCTCATTTAATTGGAAATGAAATTGGAATAATCTTTACTTATGGTTTAAAACTGAAAACAGCACCTTTATACTTTAATTTTAAGTGTTGTGCTTTGTAATGTAAAACAATATTCTTTACCTTGATATTTGTGTTGTTGTGTTTTTCCATAGGACGTCCTCCATCCCTCCTCTCCTTGTTCTTTTGCTGGTCCTGGGTTCACAGACAGCCCTGAGTCAGTCCAGCGAACCGTCAGGTGAGTACCAGTACATACTTTGATTGGAAAGTAGTGCTTTCTACATGAGCTGGGAGAAGGCCTGTCATGATAATTACAATAGTGATCTGTCTTTCAATACATGTTAGATGCAACATTACTTTTTGGTAGTCGTATTTTCCGCACTATTAGGTGCTCTGGATTATAAGACGCACTGTCATTAAATGGTCTATTTTCAAACTTTTTTCACAAATAAACTGCACTGGACTTTAAAGGAAACACAACAGTTGGATGGGTCAGTGGGACTTTGTTTGGTGCGTTCACGGTGACTCTGGGCTTTGTTCAGTTGTGGCGTGTAGGGAGGGTGCTGTCTGGGATCGCTGGATTGTCGGCGTGTTCACAGTGACTCAGTTGTTCAGTTGTGTCTAGAAGCGGCACATTGCACTCGCTTTTTCGGTTCTTCCTCTGTTCCGTTCCTTACCTGTGTGGAGTGATGAGTGTGGCTGCGGGTGTGTTTCGCTGTGTGGTCGCTGTCTGCTCCGTGTGTGTTTGTGTGCGCTGCGGGTGGTGCGGCTTTGTAGTTTACTGAAGTCGTGCTGGGACACCTGAGTGGATTTGTGTATACGGCGCTGTGGGTTGCGAAGAGCGCAGCCGTTTTTTGATGGGGTTAGAGGCTTAAAAGCGGAAAATACGGTATTAGTGAGGATTTTTTTCAGTTTTTCTCTATTGTGGCTCATTATAGGTATAAACTACTACTAAAGTGGCAAAAGGATAAATTCACTTTGTCAACTGGACAAAAGTTTATTTGGTTGAATTGCTTTGTCTGTGCCTCTCCTCAAAGCTACTCCAGTCTCCTCCATTCAGTGTAGACTGCAGTGAGTGCTTCATTGTAGAAACGAAACAGCCACTTCTCAAGAGGATGTACCAACACAGACGAGAGAACAATAGTGGACCTCAGTCTGCTGTACACCTCCACCTAAAAGCCACCGGCCACTCCTTTGAGGATAGTGAGGTACAGATCTGAGGCAGAGAAAAGAATTGGTTTGAGAGAGGAGTTAAAGAAGCTCCACTGAGGGATTAAAGTGTTTCAATCTGCTGGTTATTTATTGCCGTTTGTGTTTTTGTAACTATATTTTACATTTAGAAAGGTTGTCGGGGATAACTCCGCTGTAGTGTTTTTGTGTCAGTGGCATAAATTATTTTCAATATTATTTTTTATTGTCAATATTTGGGAAACTGCGGTTGAACTGTAGACAGAAAACCCAGTCCATGGGTTTCAGAATGATACAATAGTTGGACTGTTGCCATAGCAATTAATAATGGAAGTGCAAATTGCTACTATGGCAGTCATAATTCTGAAAGGGATAATTTTCAGTACTTTTCACCATTCAGATTTTGATTGATTGGTTGATTTGAATTGTTAACTGCCATGGAAACGAAGCCGAAGCAAATGGATAAGAGGACCAAAACAGATTTTTAATTTTTTTTTACTGGTTTGGAAACCTTTCTTGACCATTTTGGCAACACTGGACATACGGGTGTAGAGAGAGAATTTATTTTTTGTTTAAATCTTCTTCTTGTTCTTGTTTTATGTAATGTTAAAATCAATAAAAATATATCTAAAAAAGAAAGATAATTTTTAATGGAATCCGCTAGAAACAGTAAAAAGGCAGGACGCTCTGTAATTGATGGTTTATCTAAGATTCATTACAATTTCCATAAAAGAAGTAGAAACAATTTATACAGAGCCTTCAACACATAGATACAAATGTTTAAGCATAAAGAGCATTAGTAGAGGGCTCTTGTTGCAGTATTGAGTGTAGTTTGTGTGTGGCTCCGCAGAGTCTCGTCCAGTCACTCAGTGTTCCCTGGTGAATGATGATTATACAGACTCGGGCCACAACAGTCCACAGTGTGCGACTGAATATAATGCAACAGTCCATTTGAGACAGATGGTGTACCCGGGATTTCTTAATCAAATTTGCATCTTTTAAACAGCAGTCACAGTGTTGTCAATACTTCTGCTGTACTGGCCACACTTAATGATCTGTATATACCAGAGGTGGGACCAAGTCGTTATTTTGCAAGTCTCAAATAAATCTCAAGTCCAAGTCAAGTCCCAAGTCAAATACAGGAAAGTCCAAGGAGAGTCTCGAGTCACTGGCCCATAAGTCATTTCAAATCTTTAAACCAAAATACCAAATACAGCTTAGATTTTTGTTATTTATATGAATTTTTATCTAAATTGTACTTAAATTATTGAGTATATAAGAGTTGTAGAAATGTGATTGTTTCCTTTTTAAATGTTCGGGCAAGATCTTAGTGTGAATCATTACAGTGAGAATAGAAAGAATTCAGATTTAAAAGTGCTTCTCAAGTCTTCTCAAGTCACAGGCCTCAAATCCCAAGTCAACTCCCAAGTCATTGACCTTCAAGTCCAAGTCGAGTCCGAAGTCTTAGTCCATTTTATCAAGTCTCAAATCCTAAAAATAGTGACTCAAATCTGACACGAGTCCTGAAGTCCCCACCTCTGGTATATACTAGGGATGGGACAAAATCTCGTGCCACAAGATCACGCGAGACAAATTGCCACAAGACTGTGCACCCATCCATCCATCCATCAATTTTCTTCAGCTTATCCAGGGTCGGGTCACAGGGGCAGCAGTCTAAGTAGGGATTCCCAGACTTCCTTCACCCCGGACACTACCTCCAGCTCCTTCGGGGGGATACCAAAGCGTTCCCAGGCCAGCTGAGAGACACAGTCCCTCCTGCGTGCTCTGGGGTGTCCTGTTGTCGAATACTGTGCACACATGAGGAAAAGGATCTTGTGAGATTTTTTTCCTCATATTTTGACATTTTTGGTGAAAAAAAAAAAAGGGGGGGTAACTTTGCTTTATAATTCCTCTTGAGAAGCTGTGATACCCAAAAGCAGTGCTCCAATGACAGCTAAACTGTCAAATTAAATAAAGCAAAAATTATGAAGCAAAAATGTATGATCAAAAATTACATCAGAATCTCATCTTGTCTCGATCTCGTGGACTTAATCTTGACACATGTCTCATCCCATCCCTACTATATATTGAAGTTAACAAGTCTGTAATACTTTTTATATATTGGGGTAATAAGTAGGCCTGCACTATAACAAATTTTGAATTGCGATATAACGGTGAACTAAATATAGACAATAAACGATCAAACTGAAACCAAACCATGAAGCAGAATTATCCCCTAAAAGTATTCTAAATGTGCAGTATTCACAAAACACAGACTACAATAAATAAATAACAGAATGCACAACTTACACAGTAGCTCACACGTCATAATGTATTATAATAACAAAGAGAAAGAACAAAATTATATCAAATGAATCATAGTTTAAACCTCTAAAAAAGTATTTAACTATGCAGGAAGTTGATATAGTGATTACTGTGCCAGGCTTAGTCATAAGTCTAGGACTTGTCACGCAGCCGTCGTGGTGGTTAGACAAAGTGGCACGACATCAGAGATAATGACGTTGGTTCCAAAATGTGGAAATTTCAGCGTTGCAACAGAAATTTCAAGAACCACCAAACATAAGAAAGAAAGGTTAATGGGCCCATGTTACGCTATCGTCTGGTCTATGTTCTAATGTTTCCTCATCACAAACAGACCTGGAATTGTGTGAATGAAACAAAAAACACGTGTTTAATACGCAAACCCTGCATACTTCACACTCTGTTCCACCTTGTGATGTTATGTGGTAATACAGATACAGGAAGTGCTCCACTGTACTTTTAAACTCCATACACCTACACTAGAATCATTTGGATGATTTCAGTGCTGGAATTGCCGATCTCTACTGTACTAAATGTAAAAGGTAGCTGTTAACTTACTGAAAACTACCGCTTCATGATATCGCAAGGTGGAACAGAGCATTTTGAACTTTGGAGATATAGACTAATAATAAAGGGATACTCAAACGTGCGTGAATGTTTCTGAGGAGGTAATAGCTAGGGCATGACCTCGGGCAAATATTTAAAACTTATGTTCGGGCTCGGGTCAGACTCGGACACAGGAGTGCGTCAGCTGTTTCCTGTCAACAGTAAAACTGTAAAAAGTGTAAAAGATCGGCGATAAAGTCCACAGGAAGTAGAGTCACTATCGCAAATCTGCAGCTTCACCTCGATCTGCGTTGTGTGGATGTAAACAGACACACATGAGGAACTACTCTGAGCTTTTTACTTTTAAAGAAAGCTTCAAACTAGATTAATAGTGCTGTTTTGTGGACTGGCGTCATTCAGGTCAATTCCAGCTAGGACCAATAGACTCAGGGACAGCTTCTTCCCCAAAGCTGTCACCATACTAAATGACAAACAATATCCTCCATGTGTCATTAGGCCTGTGAAAATAGTGTGATTTTAATTGTGCCGGGTTCAGTCAGGTTCGGACACAAATATCTTAATGCCTGTCGGGCTTGGGTCGGATTTGATCACTGCTCTGTTGGCTTTAACTTCTTGGGTTCTTTTTAAAGACAATATAGTGAAGTGTATTTACCTTGTTGACATGTTTCGGCTGCTAGTTGCAAGCCATCTTCATAACTGTCCTCGGTGTTGGTGGTGACGTAGGTGTGGTCAGTCTGATGGACCTGGCAGGTCGCTCAGACTGACCACGCCTCCTGTCGCCCGATGTTCTCTGGAGGAGGGTGTCCCAGGTGTGTGAAAGGAGAAACACTTCATCATCACGGTTAATCCTGTCCGTGCCTCGTTTCCTGATTTCACTGTCCTCTCTGATCCAGCATTTGAACTTGTTGTTTTCCGATCCAATGACCCGAGCCCCGTCCCAGTCCATAATTATGGTGGGCTGCACTGCTCTGTTGGACACGGACGCTCTAGTAACAACATCATAACTTGTCAATTTTGCCTTATATAGGACCTTTAACAGGTAACAAAAATATAAATGTTAAATACATGAAAATGATCTATAATATAATATCATAATAATAAACTAAAACCAAATATATTTTAGTCATAATTTGAAAACATTATTTGTGAATGAAATGACTG